TGTGTGAGAGTAACAAAAAATGTCTTATTCTTTAAAACTTCAGTAGTATCAACCAGAATTTTCATAATTCGCTTACAAATGAATAGTATGTTTCCTACAACAAGTTTGAATCTCCATTTTCTTTTCCTAATGTATCCCCCGTAATCTTTGTACAATTTTTACCTGAACTTTTGGAATATCTTATATCGAATCTTATATAGTCTTGAGTCAAATCACTCAAAAGTATGTGATAAACTAGCCACATATTGACACACCTAAAATGTCCAAATATTGCATATCAACAAAATTACAGAGCTGCAGTGGCATATTGTAGGCATACTATTACTAGCATAATTGCTGAAGTTTGAAAATATTTTTAATACTAAATTTGGTACATCTACTGTTAGCCATGATGTTGTATATTTGTATGCATTATAAATAACATGAGCTAAATAGTTAACCAGGAAAGAGTTATTCATTCAGTTTGCATTTAAAAAAAATATTATGCTTATCATATTTAACACTACATTATATGCTACGAAAACTGATAGCTTTCAGTTGAATAATTTCAGTAAAGATTTCAGTTGAATGACAATTTTTCTTTTATTGTTTAATAACAGCATCCACTATTTCCTGATTCTTGCAAAATTCTAAAAGTGTCAAATTATATTCCATGCTGAATATTAAAAAAATTAGAGAATGCTTAATGTTGCTCCATTTGGATGTATCAGTAGCTACAGAAAAGTAAACACCGGTTGCTTTTAATGTATTGTGTATGGGCTTTGAATAGGGTGCAAAAATATTAACATGCAAAACTTTACCCTTTATTTTTCCATATCCAAGATTTGCAATTTCAATATATATATAACATGTATTTGGAAAAGAATATTTATAGTGGTAATTCTTGTGATGTTTTGCACAGCTCTGTGGCTGTAATATTTTACTAAGCAGAAAGTCCTGTGGAAAATATCCCTAAATTCTTCAAAGCACTTCAAATTTTGATTGTTAGAAAACAAATGCCACAATAATATTTCATGTCTAAAATGGTTTCCTTTTGCAAATACAAATGCTTTCTCTCACAATTCAGAATAATTAGAATGTCGGATTTCATTTATGATTGCAAACTTGTGGGTATTTCATAGCTGCTCGCTGCCCTGCTAAATCACTGAATTTCATGGTTTTTTAATTTTTAGTTTTTATTGAAGAAAAGGTTTCTCAGAAATTAATGAAACTTAAATTGTCCAAATTACATTCCATTAACTATAGTAATTTTCAAAGCATGTGAGGGCTATCTACCTAAAGGGGTGGATGCCTTTGTGGAAGACTTTCTAAGGAAAACTGGCTCTTATCTACATTATAAATGGGGGGAAATCCAGCCTGTTTGCCTGGAATTGAGCCGAGGTCAAACTACCACGTTCATCAATTTCACGACATGGCTGCTGATGAAACTCATAATGTTTCTTACTAACTTTTATGACCTACATTGTCTTAATCTGTTTTATGCATTCGTAGAACTTTTGATGAATATTCAAGCAGCAGCATTTAATAAGTTCCGGACTTGTCGGGACTTCGGTGATAAGATGGCATGCAGAAATTATACAGTTAAAAATATGAAACTGTAATTTATGAAATAAAGAGCAATTATGATCTAAAGGGTATCAAAATTTACAAAAAAAAAGCTTAATATTTATTTGTTTACTTTATTAAACATTTCTTTCAATATAAGTTGCTTCGTTTTTTGTGCTAATACTTTCTCTTTAATTCTATAAACAGACATAATTTCTTGTTCAGTTACAAAGTTCCTCTGTTCAAGTCCTGTAATTGCTGTGTCGAGAATACTGACTAATTTGTCAATCGAAATTTTTTCGTTTTCAATAACCTCTCTGTCACTTTCTTCACTATCGCAAGTGGTATTTTCTGGATTTAGAACCATACTACAGATTTCGCCATCCTGATTGATGATTGGGGCATTATTGTTGCAATGAAAAACTTCTGTTATATCATCTTCATTTATTACCGCTTCTCCACATTTCTTTACAAAATCCAATAACTGGAAAATTTTACCTTTAGTTTGCGATGTCCGAAAACCTTCAAATCCGCGGCTTCACCATGAAATATGGTAGCTGGCCATAAAATATGCCAAACATTTTTTAACGTTTCTGGAAACACATCCTCCCAACGCGCATGCATAAAGCATACCAAAAAAAAAAAAAAAAGTTTGTGGCTTTGAGGTCTGGATTACGGACTTTATACTGTATTTGTACTTAATTTTGTTTTACGTGACTATATGGTACATTACTAAGCATAACCATATAATAGTATATACATTAATTATTTATTCTACTTTTATCATATTCAAAAGTACTTAAATATAAATAAAATGCTTTTTTCCCCTACTTGGAAATTTTGCATTACGTTTTTGTGATATAAAAAAACTGGACACCTACAGCTTAATGCATTCATCGGGAATGGCCAACACATCAGTTGTTTAGCCATGTCATTGTCCAGGAAGAAATTCTTAAGCAGGATTTTTTTTTTGACACTTTTGCGGGTTACGCAAGCGCTTAGATTTCCACAACTACAACACAGAGAATTGATTTATGTTTCATTTGATAGATGAGGTTACACTACAGAATACAAAAAGAAATTTGGGATCACGGTTCAGCTATAGCTGAGCGACAAAAGTAGCGAAATCACAAGAATTTTGATGATTCATCTGTTGAGCGTATGCACAGTGAGTGGCCATGCATCCCTGCTCTTGTGCATTCTCATCTGATAGGCAACTTCGGTGCAGCTGGCACTCGTGAATGGTTGTACAATTTATCAATTTTGTTTCACTGAAATTAACCCTTTGTTGCATCATGTCCACTCTAGTAGACTTAAGTTTAAATTTGTTTATTCTTCTGTAAATACCTTAACAGATTCCATTCCTGTGTTTATTCATTCTATATTATTAGAACTTTCAACTGTCGATCGTAGATGGCTGTATAGCATCACTAAGTAAAGCATTGCTATTTGGAAAATGGCTGCTACTTCTGTTTCCAAGTTAGTACAATTTCTCATAGTAAACATTATATAATATTGCTTACATTTTCTTATACTGCCATTTTTTATTCATAATTAATAATTTTAGGCATTTTATTTTAAATGTCAGTTTGAGAAAATTGTGGGGTAGATAAAGATCTACCGAAAAGAGTCAATTGAAACCAAAATGTACTGCTTATCAAGCCAAAACACCACTCGAAATGTTTAAGACTGCATTTCGGCAAAGGAATTTCTGCAACATTTGACATTTGAATCCAATAGGTGCAGGTTACAAAATCATAGCAAATGAATTCAATCACAAATTGATGAAATGGAAGGTATTTTGGGGGATCTGTATGTGTGTGTCCAGTTGTAGGTTTACCATTTTAGAAAGATTGTGATGAGTCACTGCAAACAAGGCAGGAAATGATTTCAAATGCAATGACCGTAAATCGTTGGGAAGAGATTTGTATGCATGTACGTATATGCATGCTGTCCACTGTAGTGAACAAACTGTAGCAATTATTTAAAACAAAATTTGAATAAAATTGATTTTTTATTATTACTAAGATTATTTTAATTTTAAAAAATACAAACATTTTCGTTTAACTTCTAGATTATTTGTATGCAACAAAGGGTTAATAAAATTTTAAAATGAGTCAACGAAAGAGCGAGCAGCTTATCTGCTCACTCTCTTCTCCTAAAAGAAAAGGAAAAGCGAGCAAATAAATTGTGCAGAGAATGAGCAAAACACTCCTATGAAAAGAAAAAAACAAAGGAATTTCAACATCATGAACTATTTTCAAAGAAATGAAAGAGCCATTCAGGTGGAGGGTTTTGAATTGAAAGTGCTTATGAACACTGCAATGAAAAATTGTTCTGAAGATAGACAACAAAAAGGCCAATGGTGTGGCTATCTATTCATCTGATTTAAAATTGTTTCTCTTTAGTGCACTTATGAGTTACTTAGAGTCAAGTTTTCTCACTGATGAAGAGTTCTATGTAGATACAGATGTACTGATTATTATGATGAGAGATTTTAATGTAGATATAAAAAAAGTGGTACTTTTGAATTATCCAAGTAAATTGGCAACTCACTTATAGACCTTGCTTTCACACAAAATATTATTATACAGTTATTGAATTATGTTTGTTATTTCTCATATCATTGTCTTATATGCATAAAATAGTTACAATTAGAAACTGTACACAAACATGAATAAATATTTATTATTTACATTTTGCAACAAACTTTTTTAGAAAAAAAAATTCCAAGTCATGAAACGAACAGTTATGAATTAAACCCCAGTGGCCATTTGGAACAGACACCTTCTGTTAGATTTTTTTTTTCCCCTTCTTCTCCCGGCAAAGAGGGCTCTGCCTTGAAATAGATAGAAGTTTTGTTTAAAATCTAAACCAAACATAAGGTTACTGTTTTGCCTACCCTTCTCTCTTGCTTAATTTATTTATTTGTGTGGGCTGTTTTGTTTATCAGATGAGAAAGTACAGTTTAAATGATAAAAGTACAGCTTTTAAATAAAATTGTGAAATACATTTCACTCTGGTGTTGAGGATGTTATTTTAGATTATGGGTTGTTTGGAATAAAAGGGAAATTATAAAATTATTCCTGAAAATATTTTGATATAATAACTAAAATTTTAAATAATATTTGAATGGCATAGTGATTACACTCATTAGTTTTTAATATTAGTCTTCACAACAGCTGTGAACAGAATGTTACAAAATTAGCAAATAAAATATTAAGACTTCTTTATTACAAAATTTCATGATATACTGGCCTTGCTTTTAATATAGTCATGTGCTCAGGAGAATTTTCTCCGGTAAGTACATTTAGGATATTTCATATTTCTGGGATTGATTTGTGATATAAGATTGTCCTAGAATTTTTTTAAATAATCAGCATATTATCACACATTTCAGTGCTATTATAACTGTTGAATCATTGTTGTAAAATGTACAAGAATATTCAGACAAATTAACTAAAAAAAATTTAATTTTCATTATCAAAGTACATTATTCAAATATTTTTGATTAAAAATGCAAAATTTAGTCAATGTTCATAAATAGCAAAATGTCACTTAATGAGAGTTTAGTCATGAATATCTATTAAGAAAGAACCTAATTTACTTATGTTAAATAACATAAAACATGGGAAAAAAGATGGTTAATATGTTTTCAGTCAGTAAATGTTGGTATAAAAATGCAGATTTACAGAGTTACTAATCGATATGTAAAATCTTCTACTTAAATTGACAGCATTCAAAATTTTAAAAACAAACTAAAAAATAATTTATTCATTTATTAAGGACGGAACTAGAGACTGGCATCATACATCATAGTATGAATCATTGCAGTATTTCTCTTATTTTCTGTAACAAATATATATATATATAATTTTTAACTTCACCGGGGGTTTTATTTAAGGAATTACATTAGATTATGGCAAGGTATGCAGAAGCTGTCTGGCTAAGGGTAAGAATGCCTTCAAAGAGGATTTTCTATGAGATACTAGCTCATATTCCCATAATACAAGGAAAAAAAACTTCCATGTATCCAGCTCACTTACCAGGATTTAAACTTGGATTGAATTACCAGCATTTAGCGATTTTATCACTAGGCTGCTGGTGGGCATCGAAGTACTAAGAATGCAGAAAAAATCTACTAGGCTGAACATATGATTCTGAAAGACAGGTTGGTAAAAAAATCTATCTTTAAAACTTTTAAAATTCAGCTTGTATGTTAATAATAGTATTTTTGAACAAATGATTCACATAAAAAGCAACTTCATTTCACATTTAAATTTAAATGTGCAAACTTTAAAGTGTATTTATTACACTGGAGATGAAAAACTTATTCATAGTTTTAATCTGCAATACGAGCAAGCTGGTTCTAAAATACGTTTTTACATATATGAACATTCACTTTCATACATTTTATAAAAACTTACAGCATAACATCAACTTTTAGTTTTTTTTAATGAAGTACTTTTTAATATCAGATTCTTTGCATCTTTTTCGAACATTACAAAGAGATTCTTTAACTTTTTTTTTTGAAAATTTGCTGTGTTCTCCTTCACTTTTTCTTTCCAAACTTTGTCTTTTAGAAGACTGTGTTACTGGAGGAAGTTCTGATTCTGGCTTTGAAGTTCTACTATTTTTCAAATCTGGTGCACTGATTTTAACTTCAGCACTGGCTAGAAAACAGAAAAAGGCAAATTCCGAAATACTTTTATTAACCACCACCTGTTACTTAAATACTAAAAGGGTATAGCACTGACCACCCAGCAAAAATATTTCATATTAATTTATGCAAAAAAAAGATATTAGATTCTGAAAAAAAGTACTACTTCCTTTTATTTTATTCTCTAGGACATTTTATGACATTGCTATCATAATGTCATAGATGAACTCAATTTAAAATTGCTAAATTAACACATGTCTATAAAAATGTCAAGAGTCACTCACTGCAGTCTCATCTATAAAGTTTATATATTTAATTATTTAAGTTTTTTATTCATTCTTTGCAATTCGTAGGAAGTTGATCATGGCAATGTATGTATTTTTGGCACTAATATTTTCATATTTAAATAAAGAACACAATCGCAGATCTCTAAATGAGCACTGAATTCATTGGAAACATGACACTGCATTTTCTGTTCCCGAAAATATTTTTATTGCATACTTTAGACTGCCAAAATTCATTCTCATAATAATATGTGCCAGATGGTAATATGGCACAGTATTTAGAGGGATTCAGAAAACAGGAATATGCTTGAAAAATAGGTTTCTTTATACGTTTTGCAAAATGAAATACACACACACATATATACATATAAATGATAAAATTTTTCTGCAGCTTAATGTGCAAAAATACTAGACATGTTTAAATTTTGTTTTCAAAAGAATTATTTTGTTGAATTTAACAAATATTCTCTACTTGAAAAAGCTGATATAAATTTAAAATTTAATTAAGAAATTTTAATTGCAAAAATAAAAAAAATTAAATTGATTAATCTGCGAACTAATTAAAATATTTAAATTCTAAGAGCATATGTAAATTAAGTGCATGTATCTAAAACCATGAAAAAATATATAATATTCCAAAAATTAATCTCAAAAATCTTTTAAGGAATTTTAATATTATATATATTAAAATAGTACAAATGTAGGTATAAAAAAGCCTACATTTGGCTACTAAGACACTAGCCTTGATCTTACTTCCCAATAGTTAAGAACAATAGGATTAAAAGATAATACTGCAGAGAATTCGTCAATATGCTCTTTATCCATAGACTATCCAGTTACAATGAGTACAGAGAGAAAAGTCCTTAAATCGAATTTTAAAAAGATTGGCAAAAGACGAAATAACGCTACAGCTACAGGACAAGGAAAATCTGGAATAACTGGCTTTGAACTAGTGAGACACTCCCTTTCCATTAGCTTCATTTGATAGGTAGGAGACAAATCTCCTCTTAAATTCTAATTTAATTAGAAGTTTTTCAGAATTTAAAGTCCTTTTGTTATTGTGGTTTGCAGAACAGTCGTTTTTTTGCCAGGAAATCGGCTCTTTTATTTCACTGGATGTCACAATGAGCAGGAATCCACTGCGACTGCATCAGCCAGAGTGTTGAGAATCTTCCTACATCCGTAAATTTGTTTGGAAGTACAAAATTTATTGTTAAAGATAGCCTGCAAAGCATCTTTTCTATCAGATAAAATAACAACCCAAGGGAAATTATTTTTCCGAGCACTTAATTGATTCAGAGCAATAAATATAGCGTCAACTTCACCATCAAAACTGATAGTATTGCTTCCCACTGCCTTATAGAATGCAAATGATTACAATTGATTCCTGCACCAGCTCCATTGCGTAGCTCAATCATGAATCCATCGGTGTAAATATGGGTCCAGAGGATACTAGGATATCTTTCAATAATTTCATAAGCAGTGGCTCTGATCTGGGCAGTGGGCATCATACTCTTATCAAGTTTAAGATATCACCATAGAAGTCACCATAATCAGAGGACACAAAGATACAGTCATTACACTCATTTCTCAAACAAGATTTTTCTTCTGCTAATTGATAACCAATTTGATCCAAACCCACTTGTGTCTTTAAATTTTTATCATTGTTAAAACTGTAATTCCTCCCATGTTAGTTATTTGGGAGCCTGCAAAGTTTTTGAAACAAAAAGCATTTTTACGAATGCCATGCACGACAGGAGAAATATTCGTTAATGTTTCCGTAGCCATTATGTGGGTGGATTTAACTGATATATAGATATATATATATTCCCTTTACAATAAGAGATAAGATTGCCTTTTTAAGATATATATACATATTTAAGATACAAGATATATATATATTATTATTTAAGAGGATTATAAAATGTAAAATTTTTGCAATTATTATGATACTTTTGTAAATTATTTTTATTTGTATTTTTATTATGATTTAAAACTAATTATTGATAGTTAATATATTTTATTTTAAATAACATATTGACATCACAAATTTAAATTAAAAAGCTCTTTTTAATTCTTGCAGGAATTTTTGCAGAGGGTAAAAGAATAAATCTGTTTGAAAGACACATTGACCATATATTTTCATGGATCAATCTGAAAATAAATGGTCACTGTGTCTTTCAAATAAATTCATTATTTATTACTAGTAAATTATTAAATGATTAAAAATTTTAACCGTGAATTTTAAAAATCTATTATGATCAGCTGACATATAATAAATGAGATATACTAAAAGTAAGGAATTTAAAAATATCAGTAAATTTCAAACTTTGTCATGTTTTATTAAAATGATATCTGCCTATGAAATATTTGTATACATATTTTATAACTGTATAACTTATTGTTAGGTACTAAGTTTTTTAGCAAGATAATACATTGCTATTTTTATTATATTATAGTGTAACAATATTATAAGACTGAGGCTTTCTTCATAAAATAGTAATTTTTAATCTATTAATACTTTTTAAAAAAATTGTTTATCTGCAAATTTATAAAAAATTTAAATTAAAAAAATAATTGTTTATAACATAGTTATATCATTTATGTACTGTAAAAGAGATACTGTCTGTTATTACAGTTTTCTGTTATATTATTAGATGTATACATATACACATGCATAAAAAAACATTTTAATATGTTAAAATGATAAAATGTAGGTTGCTCATTTATCCTCTTTTAAAAAAGTGCTGTTTATCGCAGACTATCACAGAGAAAAGATTATCACATAGGCCTATAAGATTTTTCCTCTAAAAAGTTATTATTTAAAAACTAGGCTGAATGCCCCAAACTAAATCTTTTTTGGAAACCTCTTTAGTGATATATTAGCCTTATTTTTATGGAAGCCTTCAAATTTTACATGGTATGTTAACTCTTGGAAAAAATATTAAATATCAGCTCCAGAAGTAGCTTTGAAGTATAAGGAATTAACTCACTGAATTTTAAGAATATATCGTGATAGAAAATAACATCTTTTTTAACAGAAAGTCTATTCTTCTGAAAAATATGAGTGAATTAAGAAGTGAACAAAAGTTTACTCCCCTCCCATGTTTTTCTTTTGGGGAGAGAGAGATCCATAAATTGATTTTAAGAAATATATTAATATTAATATTTACTCAACAATGATGAAAATTAAAGACAATTGAAAAGTTATAATGAGAAAAAACTACGCAACACTCATACATAAAATCATGAAGAATGCATTATCGTTCAGCTTAAATGTCCTAAAGGTTGACATTTCCTCCACTATTTCAGTAGTTCTGAAAAAATCAATTCTCTCTTCTGTTAATATCTGATATAATCTTACAAACTAAAAATGAAAGTTTTCTCCCCCCTCCCCCCCCAAAAAAAAGAGATTGCAGATTTTGCTTTAGCACACTCAAATGCTGTACTGTATAGTATGGCTTTGGAAAATAGCATTTCATTATACTATGATAAATATTATTTATATCATTACATAGGAACTTAAGAATAAGACAATTATAAACAAAGAATTAAATCACACTAGGTAAATAATAATTTTGATTTAATAAGATGAATTAAAAACTATATTCAATAAAAAGTATACCAGATATAACAATTCATTATAATAAAACATTACTTACTAACTTGAAAGTAGAAATTTGGTCATCAACTAAAGTATTTATAATATAAAAGGTAAGAAACAGCACATTTTGTAGAATTATTATAAAGGCAATTAATAAATAATTATTAATCACCAGAAATAAGCACAAAATTTGCAGACTAACAGTGTCATAAATAACAAAATTTTTGCATCTGGGGATTTATTCTAATAACTTTGCAAAATATTAATGGTCAAAGATTTGCTTTTAACATTTTATAATAAAATTTTAAAAATATAACACATATTTAGTATATATATGAATACTGATATATACTAAATATGTGTTAAACAATTTTAAATTTGAATTTACATTTATATACATTCTAGCAATAAAATCAACATCATTACGAAAGATTAAGGCTTCTATTTAAGTAAAGGTGTTTTGATATACTATTATACTGTTCATACAGACTTTTCGTAATGTAGAATGATTTTCAGTATTGTGACATTTAATGATGGGAGATAACATGTAACTTTTGAAAATGATCTTTTCTGTTGTTCTAGCAAAACTTGGGGGAAATTCAAAGCTCAATATTCTGATTTTGAACCTCGACAATGGACCAAGATTATTTTACTGAGTATTTTTCACACTAATTCTGATAGAAAGGAGCTCTAAATTTCTTTAATATAAAAAATTATTTTAATTGTAATAGAAACTAAAAATTTATTTTTAAAATGTAAAATTCATAAAGTTATTTAATATTTGTTTGTGAAAATAATATTTTTAAAATCTACGGAAATGTTAATTATTTAAAAATTACAATTAATTATTTAAAAATTACAAAACAATTATTAAAAAGAGTCATGGAAATCCACACTGAAAAAAAATTAGTACTTAAATTTATATTATCATATATGTTTTCATACCATTTCCACTTTTTCCTTTATATGCAGCATCCATCAGTCTGAGATTCTGAACTCGAGCTTCATCGTGATCCACAATACGAGCAGGATAATCTTTTCCAATTACACAACCTAACTGTTCTTGAAGCTGTAAATATTTTATTCATTTATTAATCATTTATTGTATACTGTTACATATATCTAAATTTAAGATAAAATTTAAACTTTTCAACAAAATTCAGTTGTGCATTTTTTTTTTTTTTTTTTTTTTTTTAAATCCTACATGTACACTCTGCACCAAAAAAAAAGGGCATACAGTTCTATATCACCTGTGGGCCTTATTGACGAAATTTAACTTGTGTTTTTTACGTCTTGAAAGAGCGACGTAGGATTTATATATAGCATTTTTCTAATATGTATTTTTGTCTCAAAACAAGACTTTTACTGAAATGACCTACCGATTGTTTTCCATATTTCGATTCTACAACTAAAATTATGCCTAAATACTAATATTTATAAAATTTGGTGAGAAACTTTCTGAAAAATTTAAATATTTATCTTAGAGCTCTTTTCTCAGTTTGCGCCAGGAATAATTCACTTGGCGGAATTCTTCATATGTGGTAACCTATTTTTCTTTGCCTTTTATTGTGCATGAGCAGGAAACAAAAAGGTGCATCGTTCATTCTTTTAAATAATTTTTAAAAAGTGCATAAACCACATTTGGCATTATTATCGCTTACATTAAATATGCCAAATTTCAAAAGGTACCAATATCTAAATTCAAATTTTGAATAAAAAACTACAAATAACTATAAAATAAATATAAATCTTGGGAAATTTTGAATAAAAACTCTAATTTTTTGCAAGCGTAACTAGAAATACATCTACTTTACGGCGATGATAAAAATTGTATAGGTTATAATTCAAAACTTTTTTCGAAAATTGTATAAAAATTACTAAAATATACACATTTTGAAAACAAATCAGAAAATTGTTGCAATTTTGTTCAATTTGATTTGAACCTAAATTTCGAATTGTGAAAGAAGGAATTAAGTAAGTTTAATAAAAAAAAGAGATATTATTAAATGTATACCAAATTAAATTAACATTGAGATGCTAAAATTTTGAGAGCCAATTTTTTAAAAACTACTCGTGCGATTTTTACAAAACTTGGCACTTTGGCATAATTTGAATCACAGAATCGAAATATAGAAAACAAATTGCATGTCATTTCAGAAAAAGTCCGATTTTGTGTCAAAATACCTGTGTTAGAACAATACTATAATATCCTAAGTTGTGCTTTCGAGACATTAAAAACACAAGTTAAATTTCATGAATCGGCCCAGTAGAACGATAGATATAGAGCTGTCTCTTTTATTGTGTGAAAGGTGTACATATAGTATACACGTAGCGTATTCGGAAACTAAGTACCGTTTCATTCTAGTGCCGTCGCAGCGCTGTGGTAGGCGTCCCGCGCATGCGCACTAGTCTTTCTTGTTCACTGACTTTCAATTGTCGCCATTTTGGTTGCTCTATGTTGTGTTTTCAGTTTGCTGTGCACATTCAAAATGTTTCAGACAATTAGTTCTCCCACTGACTGTGAGATTCGTGCCGTGATTAAATTTTTTAACGCGATGAATGTTAAACCGGCCGAAATTTATTGTCAAGTGACAGAAGTTTACGGTGAATACGCGATAAGTGATGGAATGGTGAGAAAGTGGAAGAATGTTTAATGCAGGTCGAACAAATATCCATGCCGAGGCTCGGAGTGGTCGGCCTTCTGTTGTCACCGATGATTTGGTAAGGAAAGTTGATGAAGCAATTCATGAGAACAGACGCTTCACAATGACAACTCTTTCAGAGGCATTTCCACAAATTTCACGTACTGTTTTGTTCGAAATTGTGTCTGACCGCTTGAATTATCGCAAACTGTGTTCCCGATGGGTTCCAAAAATGCTCACTGATGTTCACAAAACAAAGCAACTTGGTAGTGCTCTGACATTTCTCACGCGGTACAGTGATGAGGGAGAAAACTTTTTAAACCAAATTGTGACAGGTGATGAAACTTGGGTGTGTCATTTCACACCAGAATCGATGGAGTGAAGACACACTCATTCTCTGAAAAAACAAAAGTTCAAAGTGACAATGTCATGACAAAAAATCATGTGCACTGTCTTCTGGGATAGGAAAGACGTTTTGCTTACTGAATTTCTTCCCAGAGGTGAAACCATTAATGCGGCACGATATTGTGAGACTTTAACAAAACTGAGGCGTGCCATTCAAAACAAATGAAGAGGAATGCTCAGTAAAGGAATTGTGTTGTTCCATGACAATGCTCGGCCCCATACTGCTGGTGTCACTCAATCGTTAATTCGACAGTTTCAATGGGAGCAGTTCGATCACCCGCGGTACAGCCCGGACTTTGCGCCGTCCAACTATCACTTGTTCCTGCACATGAAGCGCGAGCTTGGTGGCAAGCACTTTGGATCTGACGATGACACGAAAAATGCTGTGGAGTCGTGGTTATCGAAACTGGCGGGAAGTTTCTTTGACGATGGTATACAAAAACTGATCACCCGCTATGACAAGTGTTTGATCATTGGTGGAAACTATGTTGAAAAATAGTTTAAGACATGTATTTTCATGTAAAAATAAAATTGGATTCGAAAAAATTGTTTTACTATTTATTTCTTTTCTTTTTTTTTTTTTTTTTTTTTTTTTTTTTTTTCAAAACGGTACTTAGTTTCCGAATATGCCTCGTATATTTAATTGTACAGGGTGTCCCCACTCAAAAGAGAACCTGTGAAAAGTGTGATAAAACATCTTTTAAAAAGAAGAAATTAAACCATATTTTTACATGCTTTTATGTTTGAGAAATGAAAGTACATTACAAGAGGTGCTGGAAGTGACCTTCTCCAAACCTTTATACACAATGCCGCATTTTTGTGCATGTTGCTGCCAGAGTGCACATGGTATAGTGATGAACCATGTTTCCACTTGTTAGAATACATGAATTAACCTCTTCCCGGGGGCTGGGACATATATGTCCTGAGCAAAGTGTACGGCAACTGGGGGCTCAGGACAGTTTTTCCTTGGTCGCAGGGGTAGGAACACTTGAGGTTTGACAACTATTTTACGATACCTTTACAAGTGCATTCTTTTGTGGGATTCCGCTAATGGGTAGGGGTAATTGTCCGTAATTTGAACCCACATGGCTTGTTTGCGAATTCGGTGTCTTCCGGGAAATATTTTCTCAAGAGGAGAAAATGCAAAGAATAATTTGTTACTTCGATTCTCGCACGTTTGCGGTTTGCGTTTTAAGATCTTTCTTCAATTTTTTTTTTTTTTTTTTTTTTTTTTTTTTTTTTTTTTTTTTTTTTTTTTTTTTTTTTTAACCTTTTGCAAATATTGTTATAAATTCTTTGAGTTAATATTAATAATTTTTTTGGAATTCGGTATTAAATAATGGCTAAACATAAAGGAAATTTTCTTTGTTTCATTCTTTTTGTAATTGTTTATTTCAATTTATTCCAGTTTTTAATGTGGAACGTTTTTCCGAAGGCCACTAGATGGCATCCTGTGTCCATTACTTTTGAAATGAACACAGTTTTAGGTTCCTGACCTTGAGTTTGATATATTTTGCTTGACTTTGTCATTTTACTCATCAGCTGTTCAAGGGTGGGAGGCGGAGGGAAAACGTAAGCAGAGGTGGGCTCTTTAAATCGCTGCATGCTAATGAAAACATTCTCGTATCTAATTTATATCCAATTCCTTTTTTCATTCTAATTTTTTCCTCTACTATGTACGGTCTTTTAGGGTTACTATGTGGAGTTTTTTTACGTTTTGCATTGCCTTCAGATATATTTCCGCTCCTTCTTTTTTTATTTAGGAAAGCCTCACCTCCAGTCTATTATGGCGGGAAGGCGCTATTTATCAGAGGAAGAATACCCTCGTATGGTTAGTGAACCATTTACTAACGCAACTGATTCATTTTCTAAAGAGTTAAAAAGTGATACTTTTCTTAAGAGTTACAAAGTGATACTTCTCAGTGCTTCGAGATTTACCACACTCATTTTCATTTTAAATTTTGTTACTTCTTACTGTAAATAGTCTTTATTGGGTTCTTTTTATTAATTTTAAACTTTATTGATGGATTTTATCAATTAAAACATTGGAATAATTGGAATAGCGCTTCCGAAAATTATTTTAAAAGATAAGCAATTTTTTAAGTATATTTTTCATGTAAAATAAAGAAAAAAATGTTTTAAAGGCTAATTTTAACATATATAAGAGCTCAAGTAATAATCTAAAATGATACCAAAAATTATGATGCAAGAAGCGAAACTTTTGTTTTTCTGATTTTTGTTATAAAATTAGGCTTAGCTATGCAAAACCTCCATCCTGTACGGTGACTGTCTTCGATTCTCTTCAGTCCCGCACGAGCGTCTTAAACAAAGGTGCGCCGTCGCGAAAAGGTTAAAGAAAAAATGCAGCAACAATATAAATCGACAAACAACTATTTCCCTTCTATTCTAAGGTAAAAGTAATATATATAATATCTCTAAGTTGTAAAGCTAAATTTTTGTTATTGAATACACTGAAACTCAACAAGGATTTATTTTCTAAACCTCCAGCGTTTGCTTCTAAATTTCTTTACCAAACCAAAAACTGTGAAGCGGTTAAGAAATTTAAAGATCTTATATCCCTAATTTGAAGGTAGATCAAGCCTGGGAACACTATTTGCAACGTCAATTTTTCGTCAAACAAGAGCTTCAATTGTCTGTTTCGGTGAAACGCGTAATGGTGTTAGCTTAGTTCGACATTCAACTAAATTTCCCTTGAAAAGCCCAGTTGGAGGTCCAATTGGGTTAATTTACCATTTTCCGCTTTGTAATTTTTATATTTTAACTTGTTCCGTCAATCAGTTTTTATATGTGTTAACTTTTCACATATCACGTCGATAGGTTTTGCTCTTTTTTTGTGCATTCACATGTTTCCAACAATAGATTTTAACAGTTTTATGTTCTTTATTTTATTTCGCATGTAAGCTGTTTTTTCATCTTTCCATGTTAATATTTTAACAAATACTTCCATGTTGATATTTTAAAAAATACTGCGTTGAACTTTTCTTGGAGCCACAGCTCCTGGTAACTTTTTAGCGAGCTCACTACAATATTTCTTCCTATTATTTCATATTTTTGCAGCATTTTGCGCAAAAAAATTTTAAGACCAAATAAGTCTTACTACACATTACTTGTTAGCTTTCAATTTCTATTTCAATTATATATATATATATATATATAAAGACATGAAATATATATATAACTGAATATATGTATGTATATACATTTAATTAAATGACTTTCACATTAGATATATTGTTACATGTGCACGTGTTCATAATGGATTGAATGCGCACAAAACTAATGCTAGCTTGATAGAATTCATTTTAAAAAAAAAACTTTACACTTCTGGATATTTTCACAAAAGTAATCACACAGCTCTTCTCAGAATAACAGAGTATAGTCAGTAGTTACCACTTCAAACAACTAAGAATGTTAACCACAATGTAATGCAAAGCACAAATAGAAAGCATAGCTCACACTGAGATCTCTTAATATTTCAACGTTACTCTGAACTGGAAAAAGTGAGAACTAATGCTTTCTCCAGTCATACATTGTTCTTCCCCAGCTGCCATGAAATCTCTAGTACCTTCCATTTCTCAAAATTGCTGGAAGGCATATATTGTTAAAGTTACATATAAGACATGGATATGCTTACATATAGGGATCAATTACAGTTATTCAGTTACAGAGACCAAACCAAAATGTCACCAAATGGCCGCCAAGTTTAGCGCTTTTTTGGCAATTTTTCACCTAATTTAGTAACAAGAATTAGTCACCAAAACCATCGACAGCTTGGTGACACCTCGCGAATTTAGTGAGATAGCCATTTACCTCAATGTTAAATAAATAGACTTGCCCCTGTTCTCTTACTTTTCTGGCTTAAGCTTCACTTTCTTGAGATATGATTTCTTGATTTATGTTACATTATACAAGAGATACCACAATTTGACTAAAATTATTTACATATATACAAAATTTGCAAGAATATATAGAGAGAAAGAGAGAGAGTATATAAAATATGAAGAGAAATTAACACTAAGAGGTAATCTCATAGAAAACCACATATAAATTAGAAGAATGTTGAAAAAGAAAGTATATGCTTTGCAGAGTTTCCACTGAAGTTTAACTTTTAATTTCCTTGACTAAATATGTTAAACTAGTTATTAGGTTAAATATAAGCAAATGAATAATTTACATGATTACTACAAAATATAATGCAAAAATTAAGAATTTACAAAAATGTAATTTATTTTAGTTATCACTGTGAAGTAAATGAAAGAAATACATACAGGAAACATGTATCTAAAACCATTCAATAAAATACACAATTTTTTTTTTAAAACTGAGCAGGAAAACTATTGATTCTGTAAATAAATTTTATACTCTGTCTTAAACCCTGTTGCAAAGGTGTGAACGGACTTAATATCTTTCACATCTTAAGCCAAAAAGCTGTGTGACTAAAAAGTCTTTATCTGAATAAAGCCTTAGTAACTGCTCTACATCTTCAAAGTTAATTTCATGGTTAAGCTAATTTTGCCTATAAACACAATCATAGACAATCAAAGTCTTTACCTGCAACACTGCCTATCTATCCATAATTTCCTCTCAGCCCAAATTTATGTAACTTGCTGTCTGGCTTTTACAATCGAAAATATTAAAATGATGCTTTCAGAAGTCTCTGAGTTTTAACCATGTCAAGGGTTACCTCAAAATATCATTTGTTGCAAAGTTATGTATTCATTATTGAAAACACTGCTCATCATTCAAGACATATTTTGTTCAAAGAATTTATTCCCAATCAGAGGTATTTTACTATAAATTATTAAGCTGATAGCACATGAATTTTACATGAAGTGATTTGGATTACACAAATTTTTATGTATTTCCTATTTTTTACACAGTTCAACTACTTAAATTTTTCTATTTTTGTTACTTGTTTTATTTCTATAGTTGTTACTGTATCTCTGTAAAGGCTTCTTACTAAAGGTAAATGATGTGGGTTTTGACTAATTTTTTTCTTTTTTTAGCAAGTATAAGAAAAGGTGAGATTGGGTAATAAGGACTTTATATAACATGCATGTGATACATATACATAAAAAAACTTGTATAGACTTTACAAGCATTTTTTTTTTTTTTTTTTTTTTTGTATGCAAGTTTTTACATGTTAAAATTTGATATGCAATGAGTGAAAGTATTAATTTATTTTCAAAATGCATTGTAAAATAGTTTTTCATGTTATTTCTTATAAATTATGCAAATAAAAAGAAAAAAAAAGGAGAGAAATAATCACCTTTTTTGGAGCTTTCCACGGTTCATAGATATATTCAGGAGGAAACCTTTTTAAAACTGGTATGTATTTTCTGTTAAAGAAAACCTTATATCAATAAAACTACATGCTACTGAAATATTAAATACGCTTTAGTTTAAGTAACAATTAAATTTCCAATCATAAACTAGTTGCTTAGAAAGCAGTTTATTGTATGCATTAAAAACATCTAAAATATTTAATCTTTTCACTTAAAATGAATTTCAATTTGAATATTTCAACTGCTTTATAAAGACAGGGTATGGAATAACATTTCATTTACAATTTTAAAAAATAGCGAATTAAAAAAAATAATAATTACAAAATATGCAAAATTAACTAAAGCAAATACAGTGAATTCTCTCAAAGGAGGAAAGCTGTCAGACCTCCTATTAACAATCACCACAAAACTTAGTGTGCACAAACATGTAAAAAAAACAACGGGTGCACTGAGCGACATTTTGGAAATATTGCAATTTCTAGAACATAGCATATTTAATGAAGTATGAACTTGCAATATCTGCAATCATAGATTCGGAAATACAATACATCTGTAGAGTTTAAATATTCTATCAAGCATTACATAGGTCAAGCAAAATGAAGTTTATATCTAGAGCAGAAGGGTGAGATGGTAAAGGAAATATGTGCTGGGTTTAAAACTGTTACAGCTGTTTCTTTGACACACTTCTTTAAATGGCAATAGTGAGCTGCTAAGTTCTATGTTAAACATCTTCTACAATTTAATTTATATATACTGGTGAGCCCATGCTACTTGCTGCATTGTACCACTTATCTCAAGAGCAGTTACAGTTTGTCACACTTTATTTGATACAATCTTGTACACTGTTCATTAAGTTTCATTACACTATTCAAGTCTCATGACTCCCCTATGCCTATGTGCCTTTGGTCATTTGAAAAGAGCTTTTTCTAAGCACAAGCCCATCACAATTGATGGACTCTGGAAAGAACAGGAAGAAGAATGTAAATCAATACTCCTGGTAAGTTTATAAAAAGCCCTTCTATCGTGGAAATGACAAGGTAGACTTATAGTCCAGAAAAACCGCTATCAGAATAAACATTTTAAAAAAATACTCTTTACCTTTTAAAAGTTAATTAAATAGCCCCAAAATCATTCTAAAATGTGTAAACACAATCTGCAGGAAATTTACAAGTTGGTACACAATGGACACGTTTAAAGATTCTTCTGTGTAGTGATATTTAGAATTAATGAGATTTCTCATAGTGATTAGTATTCATTAGTTGTGACTCAATGCCATTATTTAAATTAAGGGCAAAAGTAGCGATTGACTGGTAGACTTGAGGGCCAGGCAAAATACAACTGAAGATCATCCAAGTACTGAATATACTTAAACTTTAATATACTGCTTGGAATTGCTTTTTAAACACTGATCAGTAATTAGATAGTCTGGTCAATGGCACCCAAGGGCAACAAAAGCATTCAAAGACCATTTTCTGTCATTCTCGGATCAAAGAAATGCAGAGTTGAAAGTAGAAAGTTGGTTTGGGGCAATCAGACTGCCACAAGAGTTTGAATCAGCCATTTTATTGCTGTGCGAAGACTTCATGAAGTTGGATCTATACATGAAAGCCATGGTTGTATCCCACTCATTCCATCTTCTAAAGCAGCCTGTCTAAGCTGATGTCATTATTTTGTTCAATGGAGCCAGGAGGAATAAAACTGTGTACTGTTACTGGATACTCAAATTTTTTAAGCTCACCTTAATATCAGTTACGTTAGATAGTAATCATCTTTGCGACAAATACTGTAATTAGTAATACAAATGTTTATTTATGTTCTTAGACCTATTTTTCACTTTTAGATTTTGATTATCTATAGGAGAGTGTCACCATGAGAGAGTTTATTCTAATTCTATTGTGTTCATGTTTTTTTAACACCAAAGACACATAACCATTGGTAGGTATATAACTCAAGTGGATTTTGCTGCAAATTGTACTAAATATGTTCAAATGCAATCAATTATAGCAATATTCTCTAGAGCTATCTGATGATGGAATGCTTTCCTGAAAGATTTTCTAACAGAAAATGACTCACACATGCAGGCAGCCCAAGAATAACTCAGGATAAAACTATCACACTTTTAAGGCTTCAGTGACTTTGCATTTGGTCAGCTTATAAATAGTTCAGTATGCTTGACTGAAAAAACAATACACATGTATTGCTCTTCTTCTGAAAGAATTAGATATGAATTATATTCTTGTCTGCAGCAAAAACATATACAGTACAAAGCCCAAAATCTGGACTCGTCAGAACTTCGGGGATTCCCAATTTGGGATTTTTCGAGATATTAGATCATCAGTTTAAATCTAGTAAGATGGCATGTAGAAATTATAAAATTAAAAATATGAATGTGCGATATATGAAATAATGAAGTATTTATGATCTAAAGGGTATCAAAATTTACAAAAAAAAAAGCTTAATATTTATTTGTTTACCTTATTAAACATTTCTTTCAATGCAAGTTGTTTAATTTGCTTCGTTCTTTTGTGCTAATACTTTCTCTTTAATTCTGTAGACAGACATAATCTCTTATTCAATTACATTTTTGAAATCCTGTAACTGCTGTTTCAAGAATTCCGACTAATTTGTCAATTGAAGTTTTCTCGTTTTCAGTAACTTCTCTGCCACTTTCTTCACTATTGGTAGCAGAACTTTCTGGATCTAGAGCCATACTACAGATTTCGCCATTCATTAATTGATTGATGATTGAGAAGCATTGTCATTACAATGAAAAATTTCTTTTACATCATCTTCATTTATTACCGCTTCTCCAAATTTCTTTACAAAATCCGTTAATTGGAAATTTTCACCTTTGTTTTGCGATGTCCGAAAACTTTTAAAATTAGTGGCTATCATCATCAAATTTAGCTATCCTTCACTATACATATTTGACTATGCATTATGAGCTTGGCGACTAACAACAAGTTGTTCTGTTAAATTTTATCTTGCTTTTATCGCACATTGAGACAATTAAGCCTGAATTGTATTAGTTTAGTTATTTATTATAGTTATGTCTATTTCTTGCACATGCTTAAGGCTTATCAGAATTCTGAATAAATAAATTACCACATATACTTAAGTCTTATTGAGGGCTGGCACTACATATCTTACCACCTGATGCAGTCTCTGTGAGTCCTATTATTCTGCAACTCGGCAGGGCCATACGAGCCCAGGCGCTGGTTCTGGGTTTATGTGAATACCAAATCAGTTATTCTTAATTCAAATAGTCCTAAATGTAATCTTTGAGTTTATGAGTATCATCAACAAAATCTATTTTTAGCATATGAACAGAAATTTTTGGTAAATGTTTCCTCGTCTACACACTTTAGCGCATTTAACTTAAATCTGTAATTATTGCCAAGCGTAATGTCAACATAAAAGGTTACCATACTGCTTTATTATTCAATTACTAACATAAAAAAAAAATTGTTTAGGCATCACTACATGAGTCATTACTCAAGTTGTCATGTTTTGATAAACATGCAGTGATGAAAGAAAAGTATAATAAATAATGATTCGCCAGGTTGGCGTCAGATCAACGATGTATCCATGTGGAATGTTTCGGTTTGAGATATGTGCCAAGGAAATACATAGCAACGGATCCAAATTACTGATCGTACAAATTTATGCTAAAATGGTTCTTTCTTCAATAACAAGGTATTTTATTTAGTGTCAAAGTGAAATTAAGAATCGGGACTCTCCAGATGTTTTATTATGCCCAGAAGGGGGGAATCAAATGTGCATGTGTAAAGCCTACTAGAAAAACGTTGGTGGTTTTGAGGTCCAGATTTTAGATCACTCCGGATAATGGACATCCAGATTTTGGACTTTGTACTGTATAACTATATACCTTAAGGAGAAAACTGATTCCGAACTGTGATGAAAATTACACATTCTAAGATATTAATTGCATTAGTAACTAATTAACTAAGAACTAAATAATTCATGTGTATGATATTAATATTTAAGTAACTTTAATTAATTTTTACATAAGCATTATATAATCTTCAAAAAAACAAAAGCCATTTAAACTTATCAAAGAAGCTAGCTTCATAATGAAATCTGTTTTTAAACTAACTTTTTATGTTCTAATGGACCGAATAACTATGCATCCTACAGAACGAGTACTACACAGGTTATTTAAAGTATTGTACTTTAATACAGCTATCAAAATTCCTAATTAAAATATCTGAATATATTTTAATATAATCTGTACAATAATAAAAGTTAATAAATAAAGTTTATGCACAAATGCTTCTAAGATTACATCATAATCTTATTAAGTATCTTTAATATATCTTGAACATACAAGGTGAAACCCTATGCAGAACATACAGAACCATCACTTAACCCCCAAGTAGCAGGATGGCCTTTATCTGGTCATGAGATTTTTTATCAAGCTTATAATTTGAAATATTTCAGTCTCTTAATATATTTAATAATGTTAACAATATCATCTTAATGAATGAAAGTTTAAAAAATAAAAACTAAAATAAGTAATCATACAAACAACTAATAATGCTGTTTAAATGAAAGTCTTCATCAGCAGATTCAAAACCTATGCCATCCACAGGGTTAATACATACATTAAAACATGAGAAACTAATTTCAGTACATAATGATCAAATGAAAATAATAAAATTAATTTAATGAACAACTACATCAAAATACCTGCAATTAAGTTTAGCATTAGTTTAGCATTAACAAGCATTCATTATAAGCTTTTAAACTTAAAATGAATTAAATTACTAAAATAAAAGCTTAAAAGTTCTATGCATTTCAATAGATGACATGGCACAGTCTACAATTCAAAATATACAGGGTGTTTTAAGTTTTATTATTGTTATTATTATTATTGATAATAAAATTTAACCTAATCTAATTTTAAAATTTAAATTGATGCGTTTTTCTTACATCTATTATGAAATTTTCTTCTGAAATAACTCATTACCTTATATAATCACCATTCTTATCTGTCTTTTTCCCAAATGCAATTGGACTGTAAACACGGAAATACTGATGAAAGAAAGCACTACAAGAAAGCCACATCCAATTTCCAGCATTTAAACTCCAATCAGCATCCAAAAGTAACTCTTCAAAAACCTCATTAAAATAAAGACAATTTTAAATTATAAACTTAATTCATACTACTTATTTTTATATACATTTTTGAAAGATTTTTAATACATTTTATTTCCTCTTTCTTTTTCCATTTATATAAAGTTACAGCAGACAAGAAATATATATTTATAGGTTAAATTACCTCATCTAACCCCTTAATCAACTGCACATATTTCAACATTAATATACTGAATATTAAACTGAGAAACATAATTCATAATAATATAGTCATGAGTTTCAATTAATATGAAATAAAATTAAATATCTCAAATTTTTAATTACAACTGACTAAAAGAAGTACTAATATCTGTTTTTGTAATTACTGAATTTAAAATATTTTGATTCAATGAATCTAATTTCAGCTTGACATTTTGCCCTACATTTAAAAAATGCATCATTATTAAGGCTTCAGAAATAAAAGAACACTGAGATTTAGAGTCAAATTTATGTCTCAACATTTAATTTCAATTCCGAATGCTGTTTTAAATTATTCATTTTTAAGATTATATATTCAAAATTTATTTAACTTTAGTAACTATCTTTGCCATTTTTTCTTACATTTAGAGATTACTATGCTATAACATAGAATAGAATACATAATGGATCACTTTAAATGATTCTACATTAAATTTTTATGATCCATCCTTGTATTAATAAAATATCTTCATGTATAAAAAAGTATTATAAAGAATTATAAAACTATCAACACATTTTTCTTAATAGTTACAAACTGTGTTTTAGTACGGGATGGTATGTTTTAATAATGTGAAAACAATATTTTAATCAAAGGCAAAGTTAATTTTAAAAGGCTTAATCCAGCTCAGTTTTTAATACAGAAGTAAAACACTTTTGTGAAAACAAGATAGATATACATTAGAATTATCTAAGACGTTAAGATACCTTCATCCCATGAACCCACGAGACCCAGAGATCACCACGTGTCAAAAAACAGGCAACTGCATGCCTCGCCAAGTGATGAACCCACCCTTCTTGTCTTAATTGTGTCATAATAGCATCAATAAAGGGGTAACCAGTTTGAGCCTACAATATAAAAAGATAAAATTAGCAAAATTTACAAAAATAGTAATATTTTTAAAAAAAAAAACAATAAAAATTCTGTATGTATGGACAGAATAAAGGGCTTTTTTACCCAAAATGGATTGTGAAATGGATTTAAAACATATTCGGAAGAGAATTTTTTGTGACATTTGTATGTACATGCGTACATATGTTTGTATGCGTCTAGCATAACTGAAAAACGAGTAGCTTCAAAACGTTGAAATTTTGTATAGGGGACTGCTATAACATGTAGATATGCACCTCCCATTTTGGTTGCAATCGGCCACACCAAAAGTAAATAAATATATGTATATTTGTATACCCACTCTGTTAATTGGCTCAGTGAGCTTTTTTATTCTTATATGTTGGTAAATTATGTGTTTTTTTGTTTTAAAAGGGTTTGAATTACATTGTTCTTATGTTCCAGTTCATATTTTTACGTCTTCAGTTAATCTGCATGCAATAGTTGTAGAATTATCAATAATTTAAAAGTTGTTCAAGTTCCACTAACTACGCCATCATTTGTTTACACTTAAAACTTAGTAGCATAGTGAATTACGTCAGGTTCTGCACCAACTTGTCTGCCCTTTTGCTAGTGGGGCAAAAGTTCTGTGCACTGAAAAATCTATCTTTTTGCCTAATTTTAATTAATTTAAATCATAATTTTAACTGCAAAAATTTTTTTTAATAGTTTTGAACTCTATTTGGTGTTTTAGGTTTTTCTGTATTTTACAGTTTTTAATGAAGATGTTTTGAGTTTTTATGCATTTTTCCCTTGCCACAAAGTGAGAACTAATTGATTGAATGAGAAATATTTCTCTAATGAAATTCAGGGAAATAAGTTTAAATGAAATATAGCACAAAATTTGCATAATTTAATAGGTTGTACAAGGAAGTCATGTGGTGTCCACATCAGATTTTTAGTTCTATAAATTATTATTTCTATTAATAATCATTCTGTAATTTTAAAATAAAATGAAAAATTTCATTCAAAAGCTATTTTAATTAAGCAAAACCTTACAGTTAAATACATCAAAACTCTCAAATGCCATCCATGAAACATGCATGTCTTTATCTGATGCTTAATCTCTACATATAACAAAAGAAAGAGTCTATGTGTCTTTCGTTTGTGCTGCGTGCAAGCTAGTAGACCCAGGGCTACGAAATTTGGTACATACAGTGGATGGACAAAAATATGGAAACACCTTGTGAAATGCATGTTTGAAAAGAAAGATTGATTTTAATGAACTATGTAGGTGGCGCTGGCGTTTTTGACTACTGACGCCACCTATACAACTTTGTAAATGTGCTAAACAGTTCAGTTGTTGTCGGAGTACTGTTATGTGAGGTTGTCATTGCATTATGTCAGAGTTAACAGACTTCGAACGTGGGCAAATTGTTGGAGCACGTATGGTAGGTGCTTCCGTAAGCAAGGTAGCCGAGGTGTTTAGTGTTTCAAGAGGTACTGCATCGAAGATTTATTCCGCATGTTTGAAACATCATCTGCTAAATCACAGCGCGGAAAAACATCATCTGCTAAATCACAGCATGGACGAAAGTGTGTCCTGAGTGATCGTGACAGACGATCATTAAGGGCAATTGTGACGAAAAATAAGAAGACCATAGCTGCAAAAGTTACTGCTGAAATGAATGTTATGTTACCGAACCCTGTGAGTACCAAAACAATTAGAAGGGAGCTTCATAAACAGGGAATTGCTGGCCGTGCTGCAATTGAGAAGCCAATGCCCATAACAGGAAAAGGTGGTGTCATAAAGCCTGGACTATAGAGCAGTGGAAGCGAGTAATATGGTCTGACGAGTCTTCTTTCACATTGTTTCCCACTTCTGGCCGAGTTTTTACGTCTGGAGAGAACGCCATCTCAAGCCTATAATACAGACTGCTTGTTGCCAAGAGTGAAACATGGCGGGGGTTCTGTTATGGTTTGGGCAGCCATATCGTGGTTCTCTGCTAGCCCCATGATAACTGTGTCAGAGCACATGACTGCCAAGACTTATGTGAACATTTTGGCCGATCAAGTTCATCCCATGGTACAAACTTTGTTCCCCGATGGTGATGGTGTCTTCCAAGATGACAAAGCCCCTGTTCACACAGCTCACATTGTCCAGGACTGGTTTTCTGAGCACGAGGATGAGTTGTCCCATCATCCCCTGGCCACCACAGTCACCAGACCTGAATATTATCGAACCTTTGTGGTCTACATTGGAACGGAAAGTGTGTTCTCGTTATCCACTGCCAACATCGTTATCTGAACTTGCCACCGTTTTCCAGGAAGAATGGTATAATATTCCCTTGGCAAACATACAGGAACTTTATTTATCCATTCCGAGAAGACTGCAAGCTGTTTTGGATGTCAACGGGTTTCCTACACCATATTAAGCAAAGAAACATGTTTTTTTAAAGGTGTTTCCATATTTTTGTCCAACCCCTGTGGGTGCATTTAGACAAGAACCAGTGCACCTCGAAGCAATTTTTTTTCAAAATTTGAAGCAAATTTTTTTTCATTTTATCTTTTCAATTTTATCGCATCATTTTGAATAGTTTCAATTTTATAGAAATGTGGTTTTGGCAACAGTTTTTCATTCAATGTTTTGTATACTGGACTGTTGAAAATATGAGATAAAATGCTGTTTTTTTTCATTTGATTTTTGGACACGCAACACGCACATTGCAATCTTCTTATTCTGATATGCATGTTTTGCGCAAAGCACAACAGAAAGAATTTCTTTTTTTCCCTCCTCTCTCTCTTTATTAGCTAATAGCAAAGAGGTTTGTATATTTTGAATTATGTCTTCCACAAAGCACAATTTTGGTTGGTTATTGTTTTCTGATGATAGTTACATTCTTTTAGAAATGTGGTTTTGGCAACAGTTCTTCATGCATTGCTTTGGATACTGGACTGCTGACTGTTTTCCCTCGAAAACATGAGATTTATTGCTTACTTCATTGTAATTTTTTTATATTATGTTTTAATTATATAAAATTTTAATTAAAAGCCAGACGAAGGCTGGCCACATAGCTGCTAGTATAATTATAAAAAGATGTATACGAAATTTAAAAATTTCCTTTCTCTATGCCTTAATTTTTATTTCCCACAAGTCTGAATACAGATCTAATTACCAAACTTAATCTTATTACATTTAAGATAATTAGTAAAATTATTACATGACATTATGAATTAAAATTTAAACTACTGGGGTTCGCTATCCTCAAAATGAGTGGTTGGGTTTCTACACTAACAGCTCTAGGTTAGAGAGAACATGCAGTGCTGGAGCAGGTATACATTGCGAGTTTTAGTTTCTACTTACCAATGGGTCCTTTTATTACTGCCTTTGATGGGGAAATTGAAGCCATTTTTATAGCTATTCAACAACTGTTGATTTGTAGCCACTCTTTGGTAAATGTAGTCATATAGTCAGACTCCAAAAATGCACTCAAGTCCTTCTGAATAATCAAAATAAGTTCCAAGGAATCTTAGACTGTAGTCGTTTGCTTAAGGCAATGGCACACAGAATTTCTTTCTAACGTGGAATTATGGGCAGTGTAAAAGCTGACACATTGGCTAAGAATGAACCTCTGATAATGCAACGCATTAATCAACTGCTTTCTTTTCATCTAACTAATTGTTTGTTAAACTGACTCTTAAGAAAATTCAGCAGTATATGATTCAATGTGCTGAGAATAAGAGATGGAGAATTCTGGGTGAAGAGACAATTTTCATTCCCAGTTTTCTAAGAAAGACAGCAGTAGCTCTATTTAGGCATTTGACCGGATATGACTAACCACCTCTACAGAATTGGAATATTGGATTTCCCAAATTGTGATCTGTGTAACTCAAATCAGCCTATGATTTTTAATATTTAAATAATTATATTGCATTTTTTGGTATGTGGACATTGTTAAGCTTAATGTTTGGCTTAAGTGTTAATGTTTGGCATTTGTAAAATAAATTAATAAATTAATTAAAATATTATGGATAATTATGAAATGATATTTTGGATTTTAAGCAAGTATAAACGATAGAGCTAGTGAAAAATTCAGATTGATTTTTTTTATGTCTAAAAAATAAAAATAGTCTTTCTTTCAGACAGTTTATATCATAAAGAATTATTATGGCTATTAACTATAGGAAAGAATCATTATGATTATACAAAAGATCTATTATGACTATTACCATGAAGCAAGAATTAATCTTAACTAAGCAAAAATGATAGTCAAGAATGGTTCCTATTTAATGCTATGCTGCCAAAACTAAAATTTGTACACAGCTTCAGATTACATAAACTTCAAAATAAGAACAAAAACAAGAAAACAAATTAAAATTAACTGTTAGGAAAATTAAGATATTTGTCACAATATAATCAAAGCAAGTACAGTTCTTAATTAAATTGGAATTCAAACCTTTATGTATAACAAAAAAAAAATTATTCATACCTTTATGAAATAGATAAATATCATATATAATTTACATTTTGTAATTATCTTGCTTAATTCACTATGAGTAATTTTTATCATTTGAGCTCATCATCATTTTATCATTATCATAAAAATATTTATTTAGATGTACTTAAATTAAAAATTTTACCTCTTAATAAGTAATTCTAGCCATATGATATTACATAGTACAACAGGAAACAAAACTTTCCTCTCTTCAAAACAAGCACTCAACAAAATTATTTTTAAAATATTTTCTTTTAAACATAACATAAAAAGAATTACAAGCACATTTCAAAGTGAATTGTATAAAATTATCCCCTGGCAGTTTAGACAAGTAACTGCATAATCATCTTTTCTGCTGTCTGCCAATGGCAGCACAATTCAAATTCAAGGGAAATGGAGAAAGCAAGGGGGAAAAAAGCAACATCCTTCCAAACTCAGAATGAGTGAGGAAAAATTAATGCAGTTTGTGATTTGTTAGCATAGCCCGTTCCTGGCTATATAATACACAACAAACATACTGTTCG